ACGGAAAGGAAGCAGAACATCCGGCGTGACAGAACATTGGTTTTACAAATGCGATTTCCTTAACATGCGGCTGTGATAGTCAGACCTCCCCGAGGCAGCAAAGGAGGGCGTCCTCAGCTGCAGGAAGAGCAGGAGGTCAGGTGAGGAGAGCTCCATCCCGGAGTGACGTCTCCTAATTAACGTCCAGAGGCTCTTTATATGAAGCCTCATTTTGTGTCGGGGCGCAGACGGGCATCTTCTGTGCAAAATGAATCGTTTAACCTTCAAAATATCCCGCATGCTCACATAGATTGCGACTCTTACTGACTTTTTTTTTTTTTTTGGCAAATGTCATGATATTCAAGTGAGAGTATTTAAAATAAAAAAATGGCTTTTTGAACTCTTTTATTTTTGGCCTGTGCTGCCTCAGATGTCCTCCAGGAGTTTCCAAAACACTGTCCCATAAATTAGACGCCACCAAATCAAATTGCCACTGAATTATTATTTGAGATATACAGAGGTGTGTTTTAATTAAAGTAATTATCATAATATATTAAGATTAATAAGAGCACACATAGGACGTAGTCAGCAGTCTCAGCTCTCCTGCTAATTAAAACTGTCCTGGGTTTGCTCCTCTTAAAGCATGTCTGGCTCGGGATGGAGTGAGCTGAGAAAAAAGTGTGTCAACACACACGGCACAAAAGTTAATTATATAATCCATTTATTAAGCTTATATTTGCATATTGAAATGGAAAGTGGAATATCTTCATAATGGTGACGTGTGTGGAGGACGCTCTATCCCCTACTGCTCCAAACTCAGCACCATTACTGTGGCAGATAAATGTAATCCTCTCACTGTGCAGCACAGCCCGGGACACTGCAGTCACGGGAGGGCACTGGCCAGTTCTGAAGCATTTCCAGCCATCCATTCCCCATTTTCCAGTACAGTGTACTGGGAGTCTGAAGCCTGTTCCAGGAAGCATAAGGAACAAGGGTGGGGACACCTTATATCTCTCCCAGCTCCTTACTAGGAGGAGCAAAAATGTGGACTGTCTGGCAGGAAGCTCGGAGGGAGCGAAAATGTGGACTGTCTGGCAGGAAGCTCGGAGGGAGCGAAAATGTGGACTGTCTGGCAGGAAGCTCGGAGGGAGCGAAAATGTGGATTGTCTGGCAGGGAGCTCGGAGGGAGCGAAAATGTGCCTAAGAACTGGGTTGGGAAGCACTGATGTATGCAACCTAACCTAACTGCATGCCTGTGTACTGCGGGAGGAGAACAGAATTCGTGCAGGAAATACATGAACAACTGGGTGGAGACACAACGGCCACACACAGAGGGGAAGGGCTTTGAAGGTTTGAGGTGATGGGGCTGTTTCTGGAAATGATAACACAAACTCTCCTTTCTTCCAGTTACACAAGTGAGAAGGTAACTGTGGGTGTTTGTATCAAAATGTTGGACAAATTGGAAGATCTCTATGAAGTATGTCATCTATGGAAACATATGGGTGCATTATGCATTGTTTCACTGCTGGACTCTTTTTGCCCATTCAGATAGAATAGAATCAGCTCTCTTGCACTAAAAGAACTATGTGTTACCATTGCCGTGACATATCGGATTGCTTTGTTAATCTGAATGCACCAAAGTGTTTTCACAGTTGTTGTGGCAAAACCTTCTGGGTGCAGTGCTCTTTGAAGTTCCAATTTTAAATGTTCCTCTGATCATATGACTATTATTTTATATACCAAAAATGAGTGGAGGTAATATACTTTTACATGTGTTTGTTTAGAATATACTTTTCTCCAAAGAAATGTATAGCTGAGACAGATAATAGATCACAAAAATATACATGTCAAGAAACCAACTTGTATGCAAGTGCTGACTATGCTAAGGTCCAGTAGCAAGTGCATAACGGATTTGGGAATAAGAGCTTTAGAGAAACACTGTTGGGACTTAATATCAAAAAAGAAATAGAAGAGAACAAAGCAGGAACTAAATCTAAGTGTGCAGTACAAGAACCGTGGTGGTCTTCAATACTAAGAAGGCAAAGACCATACTTATGGTCTTGGGGAAAGCAGTCTTGCTGATTTGCCTCCCAAGAATGAACTTGGAGCGCAGTGCAATGAATCATGGGATTGGTCTTGTTTGGCGAGGATGCAACTGTGTCCTTGACATTTGGGGCGGGGCAAGAATGACACCAGGGGATTATTACTGTCCTCCGTTACTTCTGTTCTTAGTATTGGATCTAGTCCTCAGCGGTGGGTACACGAGAACACAAGTACGGTCAAGTACGCACAGTGAGAAACACACCAGATCATCCAGTAGTGCCCAGTGAAATTAACAACGGAGCTGGGGAGGGTCAGTGGTAGGATGTGGTTAGCTGAGGCATTCTTGGAAGAGATCGTTCGATGTTTCTTTAGGGTTATGAGGGACTCTGCTAGTAATAGCCAAAGCAACACTTCACGGACCATTCGCTGTATTTTCCGACCCCGATCTCTTGGTTTGCTTTGAGCCGTTTTTTTTGAACAGAGAGCGCCATCTTGTGGAGCCAGAAAATACAGCAAATGGCTCATGAAGCCTCATTTCGGCTATCACTAAACACTGGCTACTGAATTCAGCTAGGTAGCTCATTCCTCCACCAAGGAATCCTACGTGGACAGATGCCTAGCATGAGACCTGTTTCCACGCAGTGGCGGAATCTTCAGCTGAGAGGGAATATGGGTCCCAGTGAGTGACTCGTTGTAGGTAGGTGCTGTTCCTTTAACAGCACTGGAAGTAAGCACTGGAACATGGTAAGAGCACGCCAAGGCTGGTGACAGATATACAGGTACATGCAAAACTATGGATATTTATGTCCTATTGTAAAAATTAATGTTCTGTTGTAAAAAGGATGCTAGGGGTTGCACAATGAAATAAGTCTGGAAATGTCGGGGAAAAGGATGCATTCGAATTGATTATTGAAAGTCAAAGCACTGCTGTAGTCTTGTTTCCTCAGAATAAGTCAGTGAACATGGTATTTCCTTAGGCTGTCTTTTTAGATCCCCCCGAAACCTTCTGTGCAAAAACACTCGCCGTGATTAACGGCCCAGGAACTGGGACTTACGCGCATGTATCCACACAAGATCATTTTTAAATATGTTCTTAACAGTCACAAGATATAAATAGACATGTGGGCAACATGGTATATTGCAAGCATATTAAAATTCAGATACACTGGCATTTCATCTCACACCAGCCAGGGCACACAGTGGCAGGTTATGAGCGGTGGACAGGGTGCTGGAAATAACTCCCCCTCATCTCTGCTGTGACTCATTTCACGAGGAAAAAGAAACCCTGTTTCTAAGAATAACTTTCTTTGTTTACAAAAGGACTTTAGCCAGAGTTTACAAGGACGCGGGCAGTCTGCGGCTGCTTCATCTTTTCCGAATGTGTCCCGGCAGGTAGCGGTATCCTTCATTTGCATAAATGATTTCTCTGCATATTTTAAAGTAGCGTGTAAAACTGTTTTTATGTCTCATTTTACTGTTAGTAAAGGCATCAAAATGATTTTTGATCAATCACTTTGACCTCCTTCCCTAGCTGCACACTATTGCTGATTGTGTCCTGCTGAGCTGCTTATTGGTTAATGGTTCCATATTTAATGTGACAATCCCCCACACCGGGCTATAGAAATTAATCTACGAAATAAAGAGAATGCACCAAGCAGCCTTATGCATTGCTGAGCTTTATTATTGAACTAGAAGTGTTTGGGCAGCTCTCACACGCACGGCATGTCTTCCCAAGGAAAGTCACGAACTGTTCAGGAAGAGAAAGTAGCAAATTTAGTAGCAAACTGCTTGTCAAGGTGGACAGGCACATGTTTTGCTGAATGCATTCTCTATAAAATGTGGACAGATTGAATGGAGAGGTGATTAAGTCAAGGTAGGATCCAGCTGGAGCTGACTCATCTACTGACAAGCCAGCTGTTAAAGAGCAAGACATTATTTTCATCTGTCAATCATAATGCACCAACTACTAAATTAGTCTCCCTGGCTGGTAATGCTGTCCTCCAAATCAGTGACCCTCACTCTGACGGCGCTGAGGTTTTATTAGAGGACTCGCCAGATACAGGCCGACCTCTGCTTTTGGATTTGGTTAATGATGCTGCAGGGATCCTGGTGTTAAAGCAGGTATGATGAGGGATTACTGCGGAGTCACAGAGATCGTAATGTGGGATTGGGAACCAAACACTCCACGGTGCCAGAGATGTACTGGCAGGTAGAGGGCAGGGATTGTATGATGAAACATGGAGAAGTATGATGACTTCATCTTCAGGTTCCGCTTTGGGCTCAGGGGAACCATGCGAGAGTGTTAATCCAGAACTGACACAGTATGGGAACATATTTTCAGTTAGGCGGGATTCGTGGGATCACATTTAATACATCTTGTTATCACACTTAATATTAATTTTCGCAAAACTTTGCATTAGTATTTAAACGAGAGTATAGACAGTAAAAAGTAACTGAAAAAGTCTGTTAGGGGAACGTGTGGATGATAAACATCATCAGCACTTCTGAAAAAATATTAACTTCAAAACAGTGACAAACGCACACTAAGATTCCTTGTGACAGGCTATGGTGAAGGAGTGGTTCATCACTGTTTTCACTTTTAAAGTTAGCATTAAACTACGGCATTTGTCAGAACATTCTAAATAACTAAAGAATATAAGAAGAATTCTTACAATATTCTCACAAACCCTTAATCTCAAACAAACAACTAAAAGGGATTTGTTTCAATGTTGGGCAAAAAAGAATTTTTCACGCTAAATTTAATTTTGTCATGCACAATTGCATAAGTGTTTATTTTGCCATTTACAGGCCAAAACAAATCCAGACAGATTTTACTATGACAGAGGTCTCATCAGATAAAAACCACACTGTCTAGACAGAAAGTGTTTTTGTGACTTTGCGTGGATGAAATGCCAAAATTGCAGAAACAATAAGACGGTAAGATTAGCGCCTTCTGCTGCGTAAATTTTTTAGATGTCAAATCGTAAAAGACATGAAACTCCAGTTGGAGGATCTCAAGATTAACAGACTCCTATTGTCGGATCCTGAAAAGGAAATCCAAACCCAAAGTCTGACTTTTCTTCAGAAGACATCCAGAAGGTTTATGTTGTGATGACCATGTTGTTCAGGTATCTGCCTAAAGTATCAAGCATCTTCTCCTAATAAACAGAAACCAAAACATTAACAAAGTTTGAGTGTAAAATACATCTTAATAACAAAAACAGTCAGTTACTGTCACACAATATCAGTCTCCCTGCTCAGGCATAAACAAGTAATTAGCAGCAATCAGTTTTATCTAGCTGTTTAAACAACTAGCCCTTTCAATTATTTGCTCATAATTTCAGCACAGGTGAAGATATCACGCGCTTGTCTTGGTTCATTCGGCCGCCCTGTTTTTATCTCGTGTTCCCCCTCCAGCAAGTGGTTTCACCTTGCGCTTCATAATTGAATTTGTTATGAACATTATATTCTACTCTGAGACTTCTCTGTTATTTCTAGGTCTGGAAAATAAACTCTGCTGTTCTCCGTACTTGGATCCTGTGTGACAGACTACTAAGCCAATTATGGGTCCGCCAAAGTAGGAACAACAGAACAATGCCATCAGAAAACAATAACTGATAGAGCATCCAGTGGAAGCCGTGGCAGATTGGTCTCTCTCCAGGTACAGCCCCTTACCGAATACAGGAAGGTGATGAGTGGAAGTCAGTCTTCAGCTCATATCTGGGCACGGAAAGTACCTAGTTATGCCTTTTGGATCAGCTCATGCACCTACTGTTTTCCAGGCATTTGTGAATGGCAAGCTGTAATATGCTCAGCAGTGTGCTGCTTCGGTGTCCTCAGGCACCTTTCTACAAAGCTAGAGACATGTGGGTTTCATGTTTGTACAGTAACCTTCCTTAGATACATTCCACCCCTGAAGGAATTCAAGTAGATCCCTGGAAAATTGAAGCTGTCACCTCTTACTCTAGCCTGACGACGATGAAGCGGGTACGGTGGCTTCTGGGGGCTGCGGACTTCTCCTGTCTCTTCATCTGTAATTTCAGCAAGGTAGCTGTTACCATCACTGTGGTTATGCATGAGACAGACTGCAAGGTAACTCTCCCACTGCCCTTATGCATGAGACAGACTGCAAGGTAACTCTCCCACTGCCCTTATGCATGAGACAGACTGCAAGGTAACTCTCCCACTGCCCTTATGCATGAGACAGACTGCAAGGTAACTCTCCCATTGCCATGCTAACAAACCTGGACCCACAAGCTACTTTTCATTCAGGTTGATGCCTCAGATCATTGTGCTCCTGTCCTAACTCCACACATGAGTCATTTATTCAGACACCTGCAGAAGCATATTATAATACCGGAAATCAAAAGCTACTTGCTAAAAGGTAAATGGGATCAAGGGATTGGTCGAGGCTCACTGACACCAACCTCAGACTTTCAGATGGAAATGTAATGTGCCTGCATGAGAATGATGCCACTCCACCCCTTTTTTGGGACAATCAGGAGAGAAACGAATCCAAGATTTGCTAAAACCCAGGTTTTCTGGCCCCATCGGTGATGAGACACCAGGTGTTTCTCAATATGAAGAATGCAAAGATCATACTTGTAGTTTTGGCAAGACCGGCCTTACTAACCTGTATCCCAAGAACGAACTTGGGGCTATTTATGTGATTTAAAAAATGGTTTTTAAAAATGGGAAGTACCATACAAGTTTCGCTATTGTCAACAAAAAGATTTTTCCAGATGCTCGTTTGAAAGCTCGCCGTTGTTCAGGGCCGTGCACCAGAGTAATGCCTGTAAACTCGTAATACGTCATGGTCTCTACGCTGCCGAGGTCAGTGGCAAACGCCGTGCGGTTAAATGCCCGTACATCACTGGAGGCCGGGGCAGCCTCCCCCTGCTTATGGCTCCTCTGGGCAGTGTCTGCTGTTATGAAGCACTGCTCACCCTTGCACAGTACCTGAGCTCACTGGTTTTCAATCATTTTTAACCTTTTCCCTGGAATTGCTCTTTAGAGAAGCCTCACTCTGGGGAGGACAAAAGATACGGGGATTGAACAGCTCCCTGTCTCAGCTAAATGGTAACGCGTAGCTGCTGAGGACAGTGTGTGGTCCAGTTGGTTAGCAGGTTACCGATGCTCGGAAGGTCACTGGTTTGAATCCCCGGAGTCAGCTGAGTGATTTTACTTAACCGCTCCAGGGACAGGCTGACCCTGCTTTCTCTTGATCGTCGCTTTGGATAAGAGTGTCTTCTAATTAAATTAATTGTGAGCTTGCACACTTTGATGCAGATTCAAACCCATTTTTTGGCATGACAATGTCAGGCCGCTTTAGGACTGAGCAGCGGGGTCTTTGACTCACACCTCTCAGCCTCAGCAATTTGCATGATGGACCAATCAGATCGTGACAAATGTCTTGGTCCTGGCTGAATCAGGCCCTCGTCCACTGAGATCAGGTTCAGAGCAGGGCAGTGATGGCCCCTTAATTAGGCTGAGAAAATAAAACATGCATTTGCAGAGCCATGCTTTTCAAAGGGCAACTATGTAGACCAAACAAGATCAGGCGGATGATGACACTTAAGCTACAATGATGCTCCAAATTTGCCTTGTTACTGTACTCAGAAGTGGATTACATTTCATTATACAAATCACTGCATTTCCCACCGACAGTCCAAAGACATGCAGTTAGATGAAATGGTATAAGGAAATTGTCTATAGTGTGTGACTCTCTGTAGGAGTGTGTGCCCTGCGATGGACGGGCGTCCCGTCCGGGGTGTCCCCTGCCCTACGTCCTGCGATGGACGGGCATCCCGTCCGGGGTGTCCCCTGCCCTACGTCCTGCGATGGACGGGCATCCCGTCCGGTGTGTCCCCTGCCCTACGCCCTGCGATGGACGGGCGTCCCGTCCGGGGTGTCCCCTGCCCTACGCCCTGCGATGGACGGGCGTCCCGTCCGGTGTGTCCCCTGCCCTACGCCCTGCGATGGATGGGCGTCCCGTCCGGGGTGTCCCCTGCCCTACACCCTGCGATGGATGGGCGTCCCGTCCGGGGTGTCCCATGCCCTACGTCCTGCGATAGACGGGCATCCTGTCCAGGGTCTTCTCAACATTATGTCCTGTTGTCCTTTGACAGACTCCAGGGTCAATGTTCATTAGATAATTGGTTATGGAAAATGAAAATTTCTAACAAAAATGGGGCTTATTTTATGGAGTGCTATATTATGGACCGCATTCATACCTTATTCATATAAGGGGCAGCGTGTGGCTCAGTAGGCTAAGCTGTGTGCCTGTAATCACAAGGTCGCTGGTTCAAGCCCAGCCTCAGCACGTCTGCAGGTCCTTGAGCGAGACCCTCAATCCCCAGCTCCCTGGGCACCGCTACAGGTGGACATCTACAAGAGCAAGTTGAGGGAGGCATAAAAAGAATTTCCCCACAGGGATTAAAAAAAAGTGTCAATTATTATTATTTATTAATAGCATGTGATGCTGACAATCACTAAGGCAACTCATCCATAGGCAGAACATGTGACAGTCCAGCCGTATGTCATATGAAGAAGCCATGTTTTGCATTTAGATTACTGATGATGCATAGAAGTCTTCCTCGTCACCAAGCCCGAAACATCGACGGTACTGATTCAGAAGAAGACTTAGTCCAAAGATGGTATAAGATTTCTGCCAAAAAGTGATTCTGAGACATTCTGTCGCATCATTATTGCTTTGAACACATTGCTTAATATCATTTGTGTGTTCAGTTTAAGTGTGTGGATTCTGTCTTCTGTGAGTTCTATGTCTTCATTTTCATTTAAATTAACATTCTTGACAACCTTAATTATATTGCCTTATAAATAAACTTTTATATATTTCAATTGTGTCTAGTTTTTTTTATTTCTTATTCTCTCCAGTTATAAGTAATTTCCTGAGGATGATTAGCACTGTATAATGCCAGTTCATGTCGGCTGGAGCAGCTGAGGTAGCATAGCTACAGTAAACCATTTGAAAAGTCCTGTACCTGCCCTGGAGATTTCTCCAAGACATAGCAAAGACCTATTAGAAAACTGGAGATCTTACTACAGTTTTTCATTTTTATTCATGCTAGTGTAGACTGACAAGCATGAGTTTCTTATTGAATGAAAAACTGTAAATCGACGGCACAGTGACATATGGGGGTAGATGTTTTGGAAAGTCTTCATAATTCCAGAAAAGCCTGAGACAGCCTTCAGCCTGGAAGCTTGCCAAAATTCGCAGCATGCTAAATTAAAGACAGCACCAATTCAAAGACTGTAGCACAGCTCAAGAGCCAACAGGTTCTATCCAACGTGTGAGAGAGCTCCTAGGCTCGCAGTTTGATGTGATGATTTGCAGCTTAGGGATGTTGTGACATTGGTGACTATGAGAAATGTACGACACCTGAGGGAAGATCTACAGGAGGCGTTAATCACATCTTGCACCAGTGCCATCACCGGCCAAAGAACACTGTCTGAATGTAGTGGTCGTTAACGCAGTCCTTGCTGGGAAAACTGGTCTGTCTTGTACTGTAAACAAACTCTTTTTATGTGATCTATTTGAGCAGGGATTCTCAAATTCCGGACTGCGGTCCGGACGTGGACTGAACCGCAAGTTCATCTGAAATGCTGTTTTGTTATTGAAAATTGAACTTCGAACAAAAATCTGCTGCGGACTTTTGATCAAAAAGTTTGTGAACCCTTCTATCGGAGTCTCTGTTTGCGTTGTTCCGATTGCAGCACAACGAATAGGACATAGGACGAACAGTCTTGCTCACCTCACTCGTGCAACCTGTTCACCCCTGACCAAGACCTGAAGATTGTAACAATGTAATAGGGTTCTTATTAATTATAAATTATGCGATAACCCTGTGACATACATTTTGCAAAATATGAACTTCCATATGATGAATTTTGAATTGGCATTAAATATGGATGATTTTACTCAGAAACAGAAATGCATTTTGGATGTTGTTAGGCCAGGAGAGAGACATCGAGTGTGTATGTGATGATTGGAGACTGGATCTAAGACCGCAGCAGCCTCTCTTTAATGATGCAGTTCACACCTGTAGCCCAGAATCCTCAAGGTGGGGAACAAGACCTGTCCGGCCAACAGAGTCTGAGTCAAAGTCCAAGCTCAGATTTGATACCAGCAAACAGGACAGGTGAGACAATTTATTAAATGGAATCCAAACTCGGAATCACCGGAATAGAACCAGGTCAGAGAACAGGCCACCGAGCGAACCAGTGAAAGCTCAGTGACAACAACAAACGACAAAAGGCTGAAGTATGTGTCACTTAATTAGGAACAGGCGATCTCAGTGTTCAGGTGAGGCAGGGAGTGTGTGCGGCTTAATTAGGAACAGGCGATCTCAGTGTTCAGGTGAGGCAGGGAGTGTGTGCGGCTTAATTAGGAACAGGCGATCTCAGTGTTCAGGTGAGGCAGGGAGTGTGTGCGGCTTAATTAGGAACAGGCGATCTTAGTGTTCAGGTGAGGCAGGGAGGGTTTGTGTCTTTTTTCGAAACGACCGTGTTTGCCTGATCTTCTCCGGGGCGACTTTCCACCTCAGGCAGCCACCTGGTGCGCCGATAGCCGTCTGCTACATTAGCATCCTGCTCTGCGCCTCACATGAAGGTCAAAATCCATACTAGACCTCGCACGATCCCAGTCACTATTCAATCAATGGCGAATCAGAGCCTCGAATCATTCTCGACCGCACAATTGCGCCCCCTACCTTGGCTAACAATAATAACGTGGATTTGTAAGACACACGTCGCATCAGATACCACATGCTGCTCTGCACACGAGCAGAATGGCAGATTTTCATTCGTGACTTTCTTCCTTTCTTTCTTCTCTCGATTTAATAATTCATAAGGGAGTTGGACCACAGACTGTGAGAGCAAATTGTTCCGGCGTGGGGAGGCTGGCAAGCGTGAGGTTACCGCTATTGATTATTCCATCGATTAGCATTGTTGGTGATTAAATTGTTCATTCTGAGCCACATTATTTGTGCTTGGAAAATTTACCAAAGTTTGATATATAACTCTTTATCCAAAATGTTGCCCGTATGCTATAAATATTGATGTTTTAACCCCTCATCTCAGTAGGAAAATTCCCATTCCTCACCGAGGTGCTCGATTCTCCGCGTGCACACCTCTGTTTATTCGCCGTTCGATCTCGCTTACAGACGTGTGTGGACACTCACCTCCCTGGCGGCTGCTGTGTGATTTATGATGGTCAGGAGCGAGCGTCACGAAGACCTGCTAAAAGGAAAAGAAAGGAAAAGAGACACCAAGCAGAGGAGGGTCGTCAGAGGGCCACGTGACCCTTTTTGGAGAGGCGTGCAAAAGCAGGTAAGCACTGCATCCCGCAAGCAGGAGGAGAGAGGCTCAATGGGGCCCCAGGTTCGACGGGGCCCCAAGGGGCCCGGGGCCCTCTGCCCCTATCAGAGCCCAGCAATCCTCCCAGCGAGGGCTTAAGAGGAGACAGAGAGCCATACCAGTGTTTTATCACATTCAGGGGAAGGGAAATGCAGACTCAGGTCGAACACACACGCGCATCACCCATTTAAGGCATTATCTCTGCCTACAGCGCAGGGCTGTTGGGTGCTGAGGGGGCACAGGGAAAATTGAATGGGGGCAGTTAAGATTACATCAGCTTACACAAAGCCTGATGTAATCGCAGGCAGCCAGGGAGGTATTTCCTGTAGTGGACTCAACAAGGACTTTAGCCGGTGCTCCAGCTTACTGCGGACAAACTGTGTTTATCATACGACTGCGTCCTCAGTTTTAACCAAAACACCAACTTGAAAAATGGGCAGATTAGCAGAACTGTGATGCACTGACATGCCAGCCAAAGTGACCACTCTGTTTGCTGGGATGGGCTCTGGGCGCAGCACAGTCCTGTAGCAGATAAGTGCCTATGGAAGATGGCTGTATCTAAGACTAATAGATGGATGAACATACAAGTGATTCCCTGAATCCCTTAAGTGATACTTTTGTGCCAATCAGCCTCCATTTTCCTAGGGTGTATCGTTTATGAAGCAATTCAGGACAGTAACTTGCTGATGGATGCTGCAGTAATAAAAGTCTTTAGTGTAAAAGCAACACCTTTCACAGCGCATGTCCCCGTCCTTAATGCTTAATGCTGGCCAGGAGAAAGAAGATTATGATGGGTTGGTATGCAAGTGTGAGATGTTCACTCTCGCGGAGGTTCTGTAAGCAGAGAGACCCACGACGTCACAACGTTATCAAGGAGATGTTTTACTACTGAAGTGTAAGTGGAGCCAGAAGGAGGTGAATGAAAGCAGCCATCACCATTTAGCGCACGGGAAGGTGGTGACACCTCCGTAGAGGATTCCATTCCTGACCAAGAAAACCGGCCAGCTATCAGGACACCTGCCCATCCAGGACCAATCAAGCTTTACACCAGCATCTGAACGTGATTTTTTTTTCTCCCTGTTCTCCACATGCTCTCATGGTCTCCTGCCCACCAAGCTTCTGACAGCTGGGAGGTGGCTGGATTTGCAATAACTGAGCATGACTGCGAGGGCAGTACCCTGACTTCACCAGCAGGGGGATGCGGTGGAGTCCGTGTCACAGAGGTGCACCTTTGCATATACAGTATGTATAAGGAACCCCTGACTGCCCCCAGCTCTTTGTCTGGCTGGCTGCTGGGCAGGTCCTCCGGTTTCTTCTAAGGCAAATGGCTGTCAGGTGCGGCAAGAGAAAATGGAAGCACTTTGAAGACAGTTAAGACTCTTCAGTCAAAGATAGATAGATAGATAGATAGATAGATAGATAGATAGATAGATAGATAGATAGATAGATAGATAGATAGATAGATATACTGACAACGGGAAACTCAAACACAAAAATATCAGCAAATATAGTTTTTCCCATTCTATGGCAAAAATGTCTGGCAGCTACAGTTATTTTCTGTCAATTTTTGAAAAACCAGAAGTGCCTAATATTTGGTGCCAAGGTGGAACATTACCTTTTGGTCCAATAAAGGCTTTGGCTGATGTCTAATTATAAAAATCAAAATCTTTATGTAAAATGAGACCATTGGGTCACAAACCGGAGTTATAGCCAGCTGTGCCAAAGCACAAGATGGCTGTGAAGGGGCTGTGTCGAAAAAACAATATGAAGCGTCCCAAGACCAAGTGGGCAGGTGGTAACCAAGCGGGAACGGAGAGCGGAGTGGAGGGGAGGTCCTTCCCTCCCACTCAACGAGTGTGGAAGGTTCCACTTCACCGAGGAAGTGGAAGGAGAACAAAGAGGAGGGAGAGAGGGAACGAGAGAAGAAGGCTGAGATGGGCGAGGAGATGGAGCAGGAAAGAGGGGAGGACTTGAGGTACAGGGAGGAGGAGCAGGTGACAGGGAAGGAGAAGGAGGCGGTTAGTAGACAGGAAGAGGGAAAGGCCAATGACCCGGGGAACAGGGGGCTCAGAGGACAGGGGCTGGTGGAGAAGAAAATCACTGTCATTAGAGTCTCAGGGCTGTAAACAAACAGAAATGTTCAAAGTAGGGGCATGTCCTGCTCCGGAAGAAAAGTTTTCATGCAACTGCTTGAGTAATTTTGTGTTTGCGTGTGCACTTTCAGTTGTTTCTGTGAAAAACATCCCCTTTATCTGAAATCAGAAGCAGGGGTTCCCTGAAATACAGGAGTGAGGTAAAAAAAAGGTTTCAGGTCAGTAAATTGCTAAGGACTATCGACTTTAAATTGTGGTGTAGGGCCATGCGTGAGATCACGCACCCTTACACAATGGGGCGAGAAGGAGACACGCTGGACAGCAGAGCAGGGCGGTTCTGATAACTGCTATCAGAGAACGGAGCGATCGGCAGAATCTCAAAACAATGAACAGCGTATCGCTACACAGATCCCCCCCTCCCCCCCCAAAAAAATTTTTTTTAATGGTGTAACCCTTTTTCCTTCAGCTAGAATAGAGAAAGAACCGTGTAAATGAAATTAGAGAAACCCAGCAAATTACCCCCAATGTCTTTAAATGAATATTTTGTTTCTGTTTCACACATACACAAGCAAAGAACATTTGCTAAAGAGGGGGCTTTAATCAGGTATCAGGTGTATTGTGTGTGTGTGTGTGTGTGTGTTAGTGTGTGTGTGTGTGGATTATGTTTATATTACATAGTGGGGACCACATGTAACCTGTTTTTTTTTCAGGTCCCCACAATCAATACAATCAAAAAAGTCTAATATTTTGTTTGGTTACTTGTGGTTACGGTTAGGGCTGGGTAGGGGTTAAGGCTGTCGTGTTCGGATTAGAGTTTTCTCCATAGAAATGAATGTAGAGTCCCCACAAAGATATAGTTACAAACCCGTAGTGTTTCTGCACACGGTGTGCAGTAATGTAAATGTAAATTAGCCTTAACACTACAGTTATTAAATGAGGCATTACGCCTGCTTGTGCCTCCGACGAACACAGGGGGCGCTGTGTGGACGCCGGCAGCGCACGTACGGGACGCACACGTCGTGAGCGTCATCGCAGCGCTCACAGCGTCGGCCCAGGAAGCGGCGGAGCGGCGGGTGAGTACCGGCGACTGGCCGCGTGATTTCGGGCATGCGCGCGGCGGAAACACCGTGCCCGGTGCTAAGTGGTTGCGGTCTATCGCTCGGGTTTGTGATCGCTGGTGTTCCCGGTTGTTAGTGCATCGTGGCGCTGGTCTCGTTAATTTAACTCGCATAACAGTGCCGTCTTTTACCTGTCGCTCTCTTTAAGGCGAGAGGTTACCGTGAATGTTTTGTTTGTTGCTGTTCTTCTGCTTTTCGTACACATATCTGCACCTTGTAAACGGTCCCGCGTACCGAATTTATTTTAAGCGGCGATGCGCTTCATCTCCTCCTCCAATAATGTTTGCAGTAATCACCGGGTACAGACCAGTGCGTAAGGCGTCGACCTTATTCAGAAATGGTAATACCTGCAACCTGGCCAAAAGGCTCAAAAATGGAAAGTAAATAATACACTTCTGATGTTTAAATGGAATGACGTTTGTACGGATTAACAAATGGCCGAAACATTTCTAGTTAATATTACAGCCACTGTAGTGTAACGGTACTGATGTTTGATCACTTATTCTGGGCACGGCGTGGGCGAACTGCTAACTAAACTAAGTTTTATTATATGATTTAATCCAATAACCGCATGCTTATCCAGGAATTAAGAAAGTTTCTCAGTAAACTTTTCCGCGTTGTTTTATGAAGAGTCTACGTACTGTATTATATGATTGACTGGAGAAGGTGAAATTTACCGACCTTTGAACGAAGCACAGCCGAGATCTGGCTGCTTAGCGGCGGGGCTTCAAATGAAGATGGGAAGCTGCAAAGAGTGAAGGCTGATGTGAATAAATAACTATGCTGGCAACATGAATAAAGCGATTTCCCATAGCAACTGAAATGACCTGAGAAAGATATATCCACACTCACTCATATATTTTATGTCTTTCTGTGTGGTACATAAGGGATTTATTTACAGTCAGAGAAAAGCAGAATGTCCTGCCCTAGGTCTCTGTTTGGGGTGTGGATGCTCTCACACACCCACCTTGTTCGCTTCCCCGCCCTGCATCTACTCTAGGTGCATTTGTCCAGGTCGGGTCCGCGGTTAAAAGCGTGTCCAGCTAAACGTGCACCCCCACGCTGGACACAGAATGTAGCCCCCCTGACCGTGTGACCGTGAGTACGTTGGCGGCGGGCGGGGTGATACGAACGTTCATCATCTCCATCTTCCTGTCTGTTATGTGTCGTATTTCGGGGCTGCTCTTTCCCATATTGATCTACCTCCTCCTCCTTAAAAACTTGTATTTTTTTAACTTTGCGAACAGAAGTGTGTATGTTGGGACGGGGCTTCGTAACTATTTTGCCCATTTTTTATTCTTAAAATCTGTTGTGGCTTGTGAGGCTTTTTTCTGAAGTAAAAGCCGGCATCCCGGAACTCTAACTGACAGCCTCTTTGGGTATAAATTCTCCTTCTTACATAGTGAACATCCTGACTGCCATCAACATTAAGCAGCCCTTATCGATCCAGGACATTTCTGCTGTATTCTGAGTGTTTCTGGCTTGCTTTAAAGGCTTTGTTGTCAGCTTAGAGATGGTGGAGAGAGAGAGACACGGACGGGATGACTGGCTGGGATGGATCTGGTCGATTTTCCCGAGAACCGGGGTGAATGTTAGTGCTGGGAGAGATGGACTTGTTCAGAGCTGTTTCCCAGCACTCAGCGGGGGGGTGTCTGCCTCCTGATTGGCGGGTTTCAGTGCAGGCCAGCACTGTGAGAACCTGTCCTGATGTTTCTGCAGCTGGAGCCCTGCTCTCCCGCTGCTTCATGGGAGCGTGTTTCCCAGAGACTACGCCATAACCAGCCTTAGTTTTGGCAGGTGCAGTGCATGTATGTGGGACCAGACCACACACGGGTATATATGCTTTCTTTGGCTCCCCGTGGCGTGTTCCTGCCGTATTACAGCCCTACGCACTGTGCCTGCTTGACGTGTTACGGCCTCCCCGTGGCATGTTCCTGCCGTGTTACAGCCCTACGCACTGTGCCAGCTTGACGTGTTACGGCCTCCCCATGGCATGTCTCTTGCGTGTTACGGCTACCGGCGCTGCATGCGCCAGGCATTTATGGAGGTCACGCAGGATCTCTTGACCGTTGTCTTCCTGATGGGGCGGCCGGCTGGCTTCATCCCGCCGATCAGTCAGCATATCCAGCCGTGCAGATTGGCTGCCTGTCCCCTCCCTGCTCTCTTCCCACGATGCATGACAGTAGAGTAGATGGATAATGGCACCGTCTGTTACCACCTGAAACCTGCAGTCTTTGTATAACCTCCAGGCCCCTCTGAAGCTGGCCTGCTGTTTCAGCTAGGAGCCTAGAACCTGTATTTTGGTGTGAATTTGGGTTTATATGCGCCCAGTTTTTTGGGAAGTGCCCATGCGCTCATCCTTGGGAAGCTGTCTGCAGGTTATTTCGGGACACTAGTTCTGGAGTTGAGCTCTCCAGACGGCCTGGCAGCGCGCATCCGGCAGCGCAGACGGTGTGGTGGGGCGAGGGGCCACTTTCTGCCCTGGGAAGAGTGTTCCTGCTGCCGTAGATGCAGAAAGAGGTGGACCTGGTGTGTTATGGAATCTTTCTGCATCCAGATGTTCCAGATGCAGCGCAGCAGCTTGTGGTTGCTGATGGTGTAGCTGAACTCGGCACCATCGCGACCTGGTGGTAGGGAACTGGAGGGGCCACCCAGAGCCTTCCTGAAGGCACTGGGAGCAGAGGGAGATCTCGGGGGTGCAGCTGGGGGGTGTTATGCAGGAATCTGTCTCTTGTGCTGACATGGCTTAAATTCTGCCTCCATTGATGGATGCCTGGCAGTGATGTATCTCTGCAGGATGCGTTCAGCTGCTGTACTGAATGCATGGAATTATTTTATATTCAAAGTTTGTTTCTGATTTATTCTCTCCAGAAGTTATCTGGAAAGAATGGAGGACACCTTCACTCCTCTGGACTGCTTGCTGCCAGCAGGTAACTTTCCTGATTTATTTTCAGCCTAAAAATGAATTCTCTATATTTTGTCAGAGTAAATTTTTCCTGCGGTTGACTTTGGGTTTTTGGAGACGTGTCACATTTGACAGAAAAGGTTGTCAGATTTTTTTTTTTTGTCCTCCTGGAATATAAAATGTCTGGTTGTACCTGGTCTGAATATGACCTTTGAAGTGTCACTTTGTAATGTAGATGATAATTAGGGGCCGGGATCCCGGGGACTGTCGCCGTGTGGTGGCCCCAGACCCGACTGGACCGGGGCTATAGGTGACGGACGGGACATTGGCCCAGATGCCAGCTTTTCGGTACCATAAGGGTGTTTACTTGCGCCCACAGGTTGGTAAGCAGATTAGTAGTACAATATGCCTAAAATATCAATGAGAGCTGCATCGTGACGCCCAAAAGTTAGTAACTTCCACGTATTTTTCTGCGTAATTAACCACCAACATCTTTTTACCTTGTTCATCCGCAGTATCTCCTCCTTTAGAAGATGTTGTTGCTGATCTCTCCCTTTCTTCGCCGCCGCTCCAGTGTTTATCGCGTCCATGGTAACCAGAACTGTAGCATGTGGCGCTCCGCTAACCATGATAAACATAAGGATACAACGAAATTATACAGACTACTGACTTTTGGGCGCTACAGTACGCTTCTCGTTAATATTTAATGCGTACTATTACTCTGCTTACTAAATTGTGGGCCTAAGTAAACGCCTGTTTAGTACTGAACAGCCGGCGTCCAGATAAATGTCATCTAAAGCCCTGGTGATTATTTTGCATGCACCATACAATCGCGAATGTATCACGATGTGGTATCTTGCAGCCCTAATTGTAATTTTTTAAAATAAAATGTGCTATTTAACTTAGGTGTAGGTCGCTTTGGACAAATGTGTCTGTTAAATGTAAAAAAAATGTAAATTTTCAGTTGTCTTTATGTAAGAACTTTGCAGTATAATGATCGCCTCCCCATGCAGAGGTCAAATGCCCTCCGTGGTGTGTTACGCTTTAATGTTTCCCCCCTCATTACGCGAGCACTGGAAGCTCTGTGAGAAGATACCTGTGAATGTCAAGGTCAGGGCTCCGGTGCAGCAGCGCATGCTTTGTGCGCAGTAATGAACGCGCTGTGAGGCTGGGGAACTGCATCAGGCAGCCAAGCACTTATAATATTATCAGGGCTCCGGTGCAGCAGCGCATGCTTTGTGCGCAGTAATGAACGCGCTGTGAGGCTGGGGAACTGCATCAGGCAGCCACGCACTTATAATATCAGGGCTCCGGTGCAGCAGCGCATGCTTTGTGCGCAGTAATGAACGCGCTGTGAGGCTGGGGACCTGCATCAGGCAGCCACGCACTTATAATATTATCAGGGCTCCTGTGCAGCAGCGCATGCTTTGTGCGCAGTAATGAACGCGCTGTGAGGCTGGGGAACTGCATCAGGCAGCCACGCACTTATAATATTAT